GTGTTCGAGAACCTGGTACTTCCAGAACTGAAACATCTCACTGAGAGTAAGAGAAGTCACAGCACATATCATCTTTACATTGTCTGTAGTGATATGTAGAATGAAATGAAATAGATAAAAATGTAGAAATATAGAAATGTATACCGCCACTACATAGTATATTACATTCATAATTACATTGTATGATAGTATTGATTACATAAAAATGGAACAAACATATTAATAATGTATATGTAGTACATACATTGCAAAAATAATGTGCCCATGTACATCCATATGGGAGAGCTGAGTACACATTTCTTCTTTCCTTTCCTTTATACAGGTACCACTGAAACATCAGGAAGTCAGCATGAAGACACAGTATCTCCAAGTGTAGACACAGTGGCACCAGGTCAGAATGTACAATTCTTAACACTTACTTACAAGCATGCTAAAAAGTAAAGAATACAGGGCCACCAGGTCAGACATGTAAAAATTCTCAAACGTCTATAAACAATCATGCTAGAAACCTTACTTAATACTTTGCTGTCTATGGGGATTTTTTTCTTGACTGGCTCTTTCCCCTTTGTTCATACAGGTACTGATGACTCTACAGTCCACTCTACAGTCCACTCTCCAGAGTCTGAGTCCACAGCCCAAGATGGTCCACCTGTGCCACCACCTGCAGTCCTCCCTCCAGAGTCTGAGTCCACAGCCCAAGATGGTCCACCTGTGCCACCACCTGCAGCCCTCCCTCCAGAGTCTGAGTCCACAGCCCAAGATGGTCCACCTGTGCCACCACCTGCAGTCCTCCTCCAGAGTCTGAGTCCACAGCCCAAGATGGTCCACCTGCAAAGAGAAGAAGAGTGACTGCTAGACGACAGAGGAAAGCACCAAAAGTTTCAGGGCCTGTTTACCTATGTGGAATTTGTAAGACTGACTGTGTAGATAATGTTGAAGATGAGGCTGACAATAGTGTTGGCTGTGACAAATGTTTCAGGTGGTTTCACTGGGGGTGTGTTGGGTTTGAAGCAGACAATCTGTGTGATGATTGGTTTTGTGATAAGTGTCAAGAGTAAATGTCAAACTTACCTATTACATCATGTCCCCACAAGTGGAGGCCTTAAGTTGGAGAGGGCAGCACACACCACCACAATGTCGTCCAGGATCGGCACCATGTTGACTGGGACAGCGTTTTTCAAGATGGTGAACCATTTTATACGCCCTGCAAAAAGTAAAAGATTACCTTTAATCACTAACTGTAAACTTCATTGTATCAGCATATACTAGTCTGAACTTTTTAATTGAACCAGGAAGTGTTTTGAGACTTG